ATATATATATATATATATATATATATATATATTATATATATATATATATATATATTATATATATATATATATATATATATATATATATATATATATATATACATGTATATATATAAAAGCAGTGAAAATAACCAATTGACATACCTTTGCCGATAGTAAAACCAACGGTAGACAGTGATCCTGTGACACCACTGACAGTATGTGAGACAAGTGCCGAACTTCCTTTCGCGAGGCCCACCCCAAACTCCAAAGGCGACCGACTGGCTCCCTTTATTGGCTGTAGTATAACCACAAGATTGTATTAGTTAGATTATTTGTACTAGTTATACTATTTGTATTAGTTATATTATTTGTATTAGTTATACTATTTGTATTTGTTCTATTATTTGTATTAGTTATATTATCTGTATTAGCCATGTTATTTGTATTAGTTATATTAGTTGTATTAGATATATTATTTGAAATAGTTATATTATCTGTATTAGTTGTATTATCTGTATTAGTTATATTATCTGTATTAGTTGTATTATCTGTATTAGTTATATTATTTGAAATAGTTATATTATCTGTATTAGTTATAATATATGTATTAGTTATATTACTTGTATTAGTTATATTATTTGTAATAGTTATATTATCTGTATAAGTTATATTATTTGTATTAGTTTATATTAGTATAATGATAGAATTGCGCATTCATAGATATACATATATACACACAAAGACACAGACATTAACACGCACTGAGTACAAAAAGATGCAGATGCACACATACACTACATCCATTCACACACACACACACACACGCAAAAACACAAACACACAGACACACAGACACAGACACAGACACACAGGCATAGACACAGACACAGACTCAGACACACACACACACACACCCTACAACCATATGCACACGCATTTTGGCAATAGAAACACACAAATATTCGTTATAACTAGGGAATACATTTTGCCTTAACTTAAACTCACCTCGTAAAAGAAGCTTTTGACACCCGAGCCCATAGTATTGAACAGCCGAACCGGATTGCCCAAGAAGTTGGCAGACCCCAGTATAGCGTACATCTACACAGGGAGAGATGAGAGGTACATGGCGTTAATGGATATGTATTTATCAAAAGATATATATCAATAGATATGCATAGTAATATATATATATATATATATATATATAATTACTATACATATATTTATCAATAGATATGTAGACACTCTCTGATAGCGTATATCTACATTGGAGATGAGTAGAGCAGAACTTTAATAGATATGTATTAATTTATATATATATATATATATATATGTATATATATATATATTAATAGATAAATAGTAATAGATATATATTAATAGATATTTGAAAATAGACGTATATATTATAGATATGCAGACACTCTCTGATAGTGTACATCTGCATAGGGAGAGATGAGAAACACATGGCTTTAATAGATATATATTTTAATAGATATGTATTTTAATATATTTTAAACTTTATAACAGATATGAATTTTAATATGTATTTTAATAGATATGTATTTTAATATGTATTTCAATAGATATATATATTAATATATTTTAGACATTTTAGTAGATATGCATTAATAGATTTGTAGACAGGAAGGTGTCCTGCAAATATCCGACAACTGACAAGATACAAAACAGTACCGATATGCCTATCGGTAGGCACCTAAATAGTAAATAAAAGGCCACCAAATCTCATGTAAAGTCGGATAGTCGACGATCAAAATTTCATTGCGAGCGATTGGATGTGTTGTACGACAAGGTTGAGCTAAATGGCGTTTTAGGGTTTTAGGGTTTTAAGGTTTAGGGGTTTAGAAACACAGGTATGAGGTACTTATTAGACAAACAATCCGACAGTACTCCACTGAACCTCCTCAACAGTACATACAACCACAACTAAACCCTAAACCCCAACACCACTCATCAGACAAACAATCCGACAGTATTCCACTGAACCGCCTCAACGGTACACACAACCACAACTAAA